AGTCAGTGGAGCATGTGACTCTCAATCTCGGGGTTGTAAGTTCGAGCCCCATGCTGGGTGTAGAGATTACTTAAAAATAAAATCTTAAAGATTTTTTTTTTTTAATTTATTTATTTGACAGAGAGAGACACAGCGAGAGAGGGAACACAAGCAGGGGGTGTGGGAGAGGGAGAAGCAGGCCTCCCGCCCATCAGGGAGCCCGATGCGGGGCTCGATCCCAGGACCCTGGGATCATGACCTGAGCCGAAGGCAGACGCTTAACGACTGAGCTACCCAGGCGCCCCTTAAAAATAAAATCTTAAAGGAAAAAAAAAAAAATTTATAACACACCACTTTAGATGCAAGTCAATATTATTTATGTTATAACTTGGTTACACATACACTAGAACGACCCAGAATTGTCAAATTGCTCGTTTTGAATCAGTATACCCCCACTTAAGCAAGGAGAGAGTACGAGAAACTAATGTTGTTTACGATCTCAACATAACTAGTTTCTCTCTGAGGTGATTTTAAGGCCATATTTATAAAGATGCATGTTCAAGTAGTTTATACACACATACGTGTAAACAGACCCAGAAAACATGAAGTCATAAAAACTATATTAGGCAGAAGGGATTTTTGTTAACTGTATAGAAAAAGATACATGCATCTTTTTCATTCTCCTAAAAAATGGGGGCGCCTGGGTGGCTCAGATGGTTAAGCATCTGCCTTCGGCTCAGGTCATGATCTCAGGGTCCTGGGATCGAGTCCCGCATCGGGTTTCCTGCTCAGTGCAGAGCCTGCTTCTCCCTCTCCCTCTGCCACTCCCTCTGCTTGTGCTCTTCTGTCTATCTCTCTGTCAAATAAATAAATAAAATCTTTAAAAAAAATAAAAAATGTTCTTACTTCCAACTAGCATATGTGGGTTTTTTTTTTTAAGATTTTTGTTTATTTATTTGAGAGAGAGAGAGAGAGAGAGGGAGAGCACAAGTGGGAGCAGGGGGGCAGAGGCAGAAGCAGACTCCCTACTGAGCAGGGAGCCCAGCACAGGGCTCAATCCCAGAACCCTGGGACCATGACCTGAGCTAAAGGCAGAGGTTAACCAACTGAGCTACCCAGGGCCCCCTAGCATATGTGTTTTAACATGCAATGTTCAGCTAATAGGTTAACCCCTTCTTTCAAAAAGTATCCTCAGCCAGTGCTGGATAACTATATAAACCAGGGGTGTTATTCATAATAATATATTCATATCTATATAGAGCTTTTGTTATTGTAAATGAGTATTCCCAGTAGGAATTTTGAGAAGCATTTAAAACTTTTGCACAAAAGTTTAACTCTTCTCATAAAAAATTTAGTTCAAAAATAACCATTTCATTTATATATGAGAAAGAAAATAAAATGCATTGCCATTAAGTATTTACGCTCAAATATTGGAATCTTAAAAAGAGAAAACCTTTGGTAAGTGGGTTGTCTTCTACTGTTCTTATTTAATACTTTTTAAATTGAGATGAACATCACATAACATAAAATTAAACATTTTAAAATACAGTTCAGCTCTCTCCTCTGCTGCCACCTTTGGGCCACTTTATGACTCCTTAACTCAGAGAGTGAATTTCAAATAAATCTGATTTAACTTCCTAGCGAGTTTCTTTTTTTACAGTAGGTTTTAGATAGAAGAAAGGAAGATAAAGTAATTGACACTTGGCTAAAGTGAAATTTTGGAGTATTAAATGTCAATTTCATTTATCCAGATAAGTCCTAGCCCTAAGTACCAAGCTGAGGGCTGATCTTCCAGTCTTGGGTATCACTATGCAGTATAAAGACAATAACACCTTCCGTCGATATAGCCTTTTGTGGGCTGCATGTGATTTTTATAATGGCTCATTTAATCATGTTTTATTTAAAACTCTATGAGGGGTGCCTGGGTGGATCAGTGGGTTAAGTGTCCACCTCTTGATTTCGGCTTGGGTCATGATCTCAGGGTCATGGGATCAAACCCCGTGTCAGGCTCCATGCTGAGCATGGCACTTAGGATTCTCGCTCGCTCGCCCAAAAAAAGTTAAAAAAATTAAACTCTGTGAGTTAGACAGGGCAAATCTTATCCCCATTTTGTTCCCAGTTTTTCTACTGTGGTAAAATACACTTAACAAAAGTGTACAGTTCAGTGGTGTATGTTCATAATGTGCAACCATCACGGCCATCTCCAGAAAACTCTGTATCATTATACAATAACTCTCCCTTCCCCCTCCCACCAGCCCCCAGAAACCGCCAGTCTGCTTTCTGTCTCTCTGATGTTGGCGACTCTCAGTTCCTCATCTAAATGGAATCAGACAGTATTTGTCTTTCTGTGACTGGCTTATTTCACTGCCCATAATGTCACTGTCCATAATGCCCTGTTGTAGCATGTGTCAGAATTTCCTTCCTTTTTAAGGCTGAGTAATATTCCATTGTACGTCAATCCCACATTTTGCTTATCCATTCTTCTGTCAACAGACACTTGAACTGCTTCCACATCTTAGCTATTGCGAACAGCGCTGCTACCCACATAGGAGTACACATATCGCTTAGAGAACCTGCTTTAATTCTTCTGGGATATATCCAGAAGTGTGAAATCTGGATCGTATGGTATTTCCGTTTTTATTTTTTTGAGGCAACTCCATACCGTTTTCCATAGTGGCTGCACCATTTCCCATTTCCGCCAGCAATGCACACCGTTCCAATTTCTCTATATCCTCGCCAACACCCGTTATTTCTGTTTTGAATCATAGCCACCCTTGCAGGTGTGACGTGACATCTCTGCGTGATTCTGATTTGCCTTTCCCTGATCACCCTCATTTCAAAGTTGAGAAAACCGAGGCTTAGGAAGAGTAACAAGACCATGCAATTTCTAGCAGGCCTTACACCCTGAATCTGGATCTTGTGGCTCCTAGTCGAGGGCTCTCTGAAATTTCCCAAAGCAGTGCTTTTCCGTGTGTGATGTCTTAGGGTGCAGAAAACCTGAAAGCTGTCGACAGTGACTTGTGGTTGTCATTGGGCTAGGAGCCTCTGGGGAAGCAGACCATCAGCGATGGGCGTGTCCCTGCCACCTGGGGGCCTGCCGGTGCCCCGCCCCACCCAGATGCTGGCCGCGGCACCGAGAACCTGCTCGAAGCTGCACCAGAGCAGGGGCAACAACCCGGGACAGGTAAGATTATTTCATTGCTTGTTAAGCTTTAAGATGGGAGGGCAGAAGTTACCCTAATAAAAATGCTACATGTGGAGAACTTTGTGGGGAAAAACACCTCTTACACAGATTAATGATATTTACAAGCTGCCTGCATTTAACAACTTCACTGGATCGTTGTGCCTAAACTCATAGCTTTATTTCCACATCAGAGTATGTCCATTTTCAGCCGCTTGACACTCTACCTATTTTGTGATGGGTACCTTAATGAATGAGACATGAGATGACACAGAGAAGTTCCTGCCCTTCAGAATTTCAACACTCGGCTCTCGTGAAATCAAATGCACTGAGAAACATTTTGTACCTCCTGCATCCGCAGAAGATAATGTTTGCGCAGCCTGCTGAGGTCAACAAGATGCTCTTGGCCTGCATGACCGGTGCTGGCCCCTGGCAGGCCCTCCTAAGCACTGACATGTCCGTCTCAGCCCCTCTGTGCCCCACTCTAGCTAGGAAACTGCACCCGTGTCTTCCATGTCCTTCTGCACCTGCAACATCGTCTGCAAAGGCTGCTGGGCCCTCCTCCCCATCATGTGCCATAATTGAGTCAACATCCTTCCCATTATGGGACATTTGTGTGTGTTTGGGGGGGAGGGGTACAAGGGAAGGATCATTTTGAAAGGTGACATCAAGGACTGCCTCTATGTCATTTAATCTCCCTCAAAAACGCTTTTCAGTTACACACTTTGCAATAAAGTCAAATTGCTAACAAAAATTTAGGGTTTGTTCAGCAAGTGAATCCGAAGCTAAAGAATAACCTTCAAATCCCCTCCTTTTGTGTCGTCATGACTTTTCCCCATAGTTGGTACCAGCAGAAGCAGAAGGGAATTCAAAAGGTTGAGCAGAGAAGGACAGGAGCCCACAGATTCAAATCTTGGCAGGTCCCCCGCCTTCCACGGGGGCCCGGGGAAGTTACGCACAGTCTCCACAGGGGTCTGGATGTGGCCAGGTGCTCTCTACACAGAGGTCATGCAGTCAGGGTTTAGAGAATGGGGTGGGCTGCGGGGCCGACTTCCCAGGTGACCTCTGGCTATACACTGTGACCCTGGATCCATTGCTAAGCCACGCTGTGCCTCAGTTCCCTACTGTTCCAAAGCAGATGGTGACAGGACCTACCTCATGGTGTTGGGAGGAAAATTAAGCGCATGAAAAACTCTTAGCACAGTGCTAAGTCCTGATAATTAGTCCTTAATTGTTGACATAGGAACTTCAGGAGGGGAAAGGCATATGCAGTTAAGATGGTTTGCGTGGGAGATGTGGAAGGAGTATAGCATTTGGGGAGACAGTCTTCTCAAAGCAGGTGCTTTCATTGTGACTGTTTCACTGTAACCCCTGGTTCCTAAGAAAACAGCAAATCTAATGTTCTCTTTTATACCAGTTTCCCCTGATTATCAGATGCCATGTGCCAAGGGCAGACAGATTAGCCCAAGAATGTGCAGGGCCTTATAGGGAGGCACCTCCAGGACAGTGGCTCTCCGGACCCACCTCGTGGAATGACTGTTTCCTGCTGTCCTTGGCATCAACACCTTTCCCTGCACCCCTCCGATCACATGCTCTTTCTTCCCTGCTTTCATTCCATTTTTTTTTTTTCATCTTCCTCCTCATCACTGTGTGGTCAACTCTCCCCTCAGGACCCCCGTCAGGTCCCCACCCCTTCTGTCCACACTTCCCAGGTCATGTGGCCCTCCAGTTCTCCCAGTCCTCTGAACACGCTCAAGACACAGCTCAGACACGGTGCAAGCCTGCACCCTTCTGCAACTCCTGTGTGTCTTCCCAAATTAGCCTCCTCTCTCCTCTCCTGCATGAGCAGTAAGTCCCCAAAGGTCAGCACCTGTTTTATACTTTACTGCACAGCTCACAATCCCACACCGTGAGGCCAAACCCACAATGAGAGCTAAACTGGAGACCCGAGACCTCCGCAGAATGAGCGCAAGGCTAAGGGATGAAACAGAACGACAGCCTGGCTCCTGTAGCTTTTGAAGCCATCAGAGCGGACGGTGTAAAGAGACTCAGGTGAAGGATTTCTGGTGTCCCCATCCTTAAAAATAACCAAGAGAGAAAAGGGCAGAAACAAAGGTCTATTCTTCCAGCCAGTCTGAGTTATTTCAGAGCATCTAGAGCAGGGTGGTATTTGTTAGATGTGAGTGCTCTGTAATTTCAGAGGCAAAAAGAGAACGACAAGAAGGCTACATTTAGGTTGTGGCAGGTCCTTCTGGAAAAAAAAAAATTGAGATTAAGTTTTCCTTTTTTTTTTTTTAATTAAGGGTTTTTCTATTTTCTCATTTTCCCCTCTCTCTCCCCTATCACCCCACCTTTCATTTATATTCTCAACCCAGGACTGGATGGCCCCCCAGACCTCATCCCTACTCCTGGGCAGAAGGGGGCAGCTCACCCTGACCCCAGCGAGACATCAGTGGACACACAGCAAGCCAGGCGGCCTGAGGACCCCGGAGAGCCAGTGTCACCCAGGGTTCCGGAGTCTGAGGACAGATGTCAAGTCAGACTCGCCCCAGAGCACAGCTCACCCCCCGGGAAGATGACAGCGGCTCAGCATGACTTCGGCAACACTCCAGCAGCCCCAGAAGCCAACTCGCCCAGGAAGGCAGCTCCCCACAGGGGAGGACCCGAGGCAGACGGAGCGTCTCCAGCTAGTACCGTCCTGTCCCGAGACCTCACGTCCCAGGAGGAGAGACAGAGAGTTCCCGGTAACCACAGCAAGACTCTGCAAACAGGAGTCCTCGTTCCTGAAAACTCCCAGGGCTCTGCTCTGCTCAAGGCAACAGACTCTGGGTCTGAGAGGGCCCCGCAGGCCAGCCCTACCCTGCCGTCCCCTGCTGACAAGGCTGACGGGGTGTGTGGCAGTGTCTTGGGCCACTGCTGCCCCAGAGAAAGTGGGGGCAGCCCCGTGACTGACATCGACAGACTCATCAAGGAGCTGGATGCTTCAGAACCAGGACTTCAGTCTCCTCAGAAAGGGGACCGGCTGAGTCAAGAGGGACATTCTCAGGGCCAGCCTCCAGCAGGAACTGGAAGCGGAAGTTCCCACGCTGCTGAGCCAGTCATGGGGAACCAGACCCCCACCCCGAGGAGGGCCTGGGCAGCTGCTGGCCAGCCCCCTCACCCACAGTGGGCCTCCCAGCCTTCGGTTTTGGATTCCATTAATCCTGACAAACATTTTACTGTGAACAAAAACTTTTTGAGCAACTACTCTAGAAATTTCAGCAATTTTCACGAAGACAGCATGTCCCTGTCGGGCCTAGGTGACAGCACAGAGCCATCTCTCTCATCCATGTATGGTGATGCGGAGGACTCGTCTTCTGACCCTGAATCACTCACCGAAGCCCCACGAGCTTCCACTGGGGACAACTGGTCACCTCCTTGTTCTCAGGGGTCTTCTCACAAGGAAGACACTACGGAGTCTGAGGAGGAGCAAATCGAGATTTGTTCTAAAGATGGCTCCCCCAATCCCCCCTCAACCACTGCTCAGGCACCTGTCCAGGCTGCAACCTGCCCTGTGTTGGCCAAAGTTCTGCCATTAAAGCACAGTGCTCTGAGTCAAGTGGGAAATCCATGTGAGAGAGCGTCCTTTGTGCCAAGCACCTCATGCCCTTCAATTCCAAACTCTTCCCAGCCATTTTCTCTCCCGGATATAAGCTCTCGGGAGCATGAACTTCATGCAGACAGAAGGATATTACAGAACCCCAGGCCCCCCTGTGAAGAAGAAACCATGGAAGCCGCCAGCACCAGCTCAGCCGTGGAGAACGGTCAGCCTCCTAAAGGCGCCAGGCATTTTCACAACCTCCCGGTCACTCTCAGCAATCTGAACATGGTAAATGGTTTAGAACATGACCTGCTGGGTGACAAAACCCCAAATAAAAAACAAGAGACAAATGTCAATGAAGCTGAAAATCGGTCTGCCTTCAGTGTGAATGTCCCTAAGAATGGAGAATCCGTTTTGACGAATCTGCACATCTCCAAAAGTCAAGACATGGATGACGTGCTCCAGAAACCAAAAATGATCTCCAGGAGGCCCATCATGGCCTGGTTTAAAGAAATAAATAAAAATAACCATGGTATGCATGCACAGGGCAAAACTGAAAGGGAGCAGCCCGTGGTGCCCGCCAGAAGCTCTGACTCCAAAAGTCAGGGGTCAAGTTCCAGCCACAAAAAGGGGGTTGCTGGGCTTCAGAGCCCCCCTCAGCCAAAAGTGAGTCTGGAAAATAAAGACCCACCTAAAAAAGGTTCAGTGGAAACACTTTTAAATAACTGTCAGAAACCCAAATCCGGTCCTAAGCTGAAGAGACTGAGCATCAAAAGCAAAAGCAAAGTCACTTCGGAGGCCCCTGCTGCTCCTATGGCCAAGGCTGGTGGGATGGACCCCAGGAAACCCCTCATTTCACCCCAGACCTCCCACAGAATGCTCCCTAAGGGCGCGGCCCCCCGGTTCCACACAGCTGAGCACGAGGAGCCGGACAAGAAGGCCCCAGGCCCCCCCATGCCCTCCCAGTGCGTGCTGGAGAGCTGGCCGCCAAAGCCCCCCACGTCCGAGGCGAGCATCACAGCCTTCGTTTCACCCCACGCCTCCCCCAAGACTCTTCCGGAGCAAGGTGCGGGCCATCGATCCCAGGCGGCTTTCCACGCAGAGCCCGACAGAGCCCAGGCAGCCGCCGCCGCCTCTCCCCGCGGTGGACCAGAGAGCAGGGCGCCCCCTGCGGCCTCAGGGGGCAGCGCGTCCAGGGCCACAAACGGGCAGGAGGTGCCCCCTCCCGGGTCCAGCCAGCCGGATCCAGCGCCAGAGGCCGCCCAACCAGGGGTGACTGGTGACAAAGGAAGCGAAGTAATTGCTGGCGATCCCCTAGAAAGAACCAACCAGCTGAAAATAATTGAAATTTCTCGTGAAAGAATGCCAAAGGATGCCTGCGGTGACAAGCCGGCCGAGAGTGGCAGACTAGGAGGGTTCTGGGCCCAGAGCAACTGTCAGGAGAAGACTGAAATCAGACCCTGTCACCCGTCACTGGAGCCGTCCCCAAATCCTCCGTCGTCGCTCCCATCTCGTGCCTCCCAGGTGGGGCAGGAAACCCAGCGATCTTCCAGGATGGCAAAACTGGCCTCTTCCTCCTCCTCCCCACAACTGCCTGCTAAAAAGGCAGATTCCTCCCAGGGGAAGGCGAGCCAGGCGTCAGGCTCCCTAGGGATGCCCAGGAATGGCACAGCAGGGGGCCCAGCGCTAGATGACCATCCGTACTTCACGCCAAGACCAGCCACCAGGACCTACTCCATGCCCGCCCAGTTTTCAAGCCACTTTGGCCGGGAGGGCCATGCCCTGCACAGCCCAGGTCGCTCTCATCGGGACAGCCAGATCCCTGCAACGAGTGGGGGCCTCCTTGAGGCCAAGGCCTCCAGAGGCAGTGTCCTTGGCCTGGCTAACGGACAGGGTGTGTATAGCGTAAAGCCCCTTCTGGAGACATCGAGGAACCTTCCGACCACAGACGAAGGGGATGTCCTTTTGGTGCAAGAAAGGAGCTGCCTAGTCACAGACAAAATCAAAGTCAGCAGAAGACATTACTACCCTGAGCAGAACTATGAATCTACCTCATTTTTCTCTGTGAAGCAGAGGATCAAGTCTTTCGAGAACCTGGCCAATTCTGACCGGCTGGTGGCCAAGTCTGGGGCGTCCCCCTTTTTGTCAGTAAGCTCCAAGCCTCCCATTGGGAGACGGTCGTCTGGCAGCATTGTCTCCGGGAGCCTCAGCCACCCTGCTGACCCCACAGCGAGGTCACTGAGACGCAGCCTGAGCTCCTGCAGCGAAAGCCAAAGTGAAGCCAGCACGCTCCCCCCGCAAATGACCAAGTCCCCGTCCAGCACGACGCTGACGGTCTCCCGGCAGAACCCGGCGGGAGCCGGTAGCAAGGGCCCTGACTCGGCCCCAAAGAAACCACTTGGTCCTTCTGGAAGTCCCACCCCAGCTGCGGCTCCAACCTCTCCCAGCAAGAGGAACAAGTCCTCGGTGCGCCACAGCCAGCCCTCGCCCTTACCCCGCTCCAAGCTCCAGGAGCTGCGAGCCTTGAGCATGCCCGACCTTGACAAGCTCTGCAGTGAGGATTTCGCAGCAGGGCCCGCCGCCGTGCTCTTCAAAACGGAGCTGGAAATCGTCCCCAGGAGGTCGCTTGGCTCTCCCGCTGCAGGCCTCAGTGGGTCCACTGCCCTTTCATGCCCCATGAAGCGGGGGGACTGGGCCTGTCCAGGAGGAAGCAGCCCTAAAGCCAGTGAGCCTGGGGCACCCAGTTCAGCCCATGATGTGGGTGAAACCCCCCAGGATCTGCCTTCTGGAAAAGGCTGGTCGGTTAAGTAAGTATCTTCCTCTCCCCTTTTATTCAAATAAACTTTTTTTTTTTAATTATGAGCTAGCTTTAGATTTATAGAAAAGTTGCAGAGATAATGCAGAGCGCTCCCGTGAAGAACCCCTCACCCAGCCCCTCCCGAGTTGGCAAAAGAAATTAACACTGGAAGAACACAATGAACTAAACTACAGACTTCACTCAGATTTCACGGAACAAATTTCACTAACATCCTTTTTCTCTTCCAGGATAACCACATTACATTTAGCCCCCTTTGTTTTTAATATCATTGCTAGAAACCCACAGTGCCTGCAGAGAAGGTGTTTGCCAGAATGTTGCTCAGGAGAGAAGCCTTAAGGGACCTGGCACTTAAGCACGAGCACCCACCGCCAGAGAGATGAGAGAGGACAGGGCAGGCTGCACCTCGGGGGAGAACCTGGGCCTTTGAAGGTGACCAGAGTTTAGCAGAAAATTTCTAACATTTTTTTTTTAGATGTCAGAAATTTTCTTTTAAGCTCCAGGACTGGTTCCCTGACATCCGGGAGGGATCCCAGAAGCCACAGTCCTTCCCAGCGCTGTTGGCAGCCAGTGAAATTCCTGTTAGAGCTCACAGGATTCTCCGTCGTTTGAATGGAGAGTTACCATGACCAAAAGAGGGCATGACACTCAGAAAATGCCTGCAATTTGGTAGAAAGGAGATCATTTTAAATACATCCTTATGAAATGGAAAAATCGCCTTTTTCTTTAAGATTGTTCAAATATATTTATATTCTTTAGCTTGGATCAGCTTCTCATCTCAGCAGGGGACCAGCGAAGACTGCAGTCTGTTTTATCATCAGTGGGGTCCAAATCGACCGTCCTAACTCTCATTCAGGAAGCGAAAGCACAATCAGAGGTGAGTGAAACCGGACAGGCCGGGGAGAAGGAGCGGCGGCCGCGTGTGTGCCCAGGTGTGGGCCCCCAGCCCGGAGAGGCCCCCCAGAGCCCCGGAGAGCCCCACCCCGGGTCCGTGCAGGGCGTTCTTCAGCTGCGTCTGACTTCTCTCTCACTTTGCAGCTTGCTCCTCAAGCTAGGCCTTGTCTTGACTTCCAGGTGCAGCTGCTGTTTTAATTCCCCAGTGGTGACTAGCTGCCCTCCTCCTCACCCCCCACATCTGGAGTTTGTCTACAGAGGGTCCTCAGAACGGAACTGGGTGTCTTGGAGATGGGAGGGAATGACCACAAGCACAGCCCAGCCGCTAGGAGTACATTAACGACTTGTCAAGGGAGCCACCTGCTGGGGAAATGGGTTAGCGCGTCTGTGTAGCCCTGCCTGGACCCCCAGCCTCGGGGCTTCTGAAGCCTGGGGCTCAAGACAGTGTGGCTAATGGGTCCTTACAAATGAAGTCCTTCCATAAATCGGAGGTGACAGTAAACAACAAAAGAAGCCATGGTTCATATCTAGAATATGTCTCTGAAGAACAACATTAATTTCTCAGGACTACCCATAGAGATTCGAACCCTAATAAATGAGTATTTGTTTAGAGGAAAAAAAGCAAACATGAACAACTTCTCAACTGGTAATATACCTGGGTCACTGATGGATCCGAGAACACTGTTCCAGAAATTCTAATATTACCCAGAAGGGCTGTGATGTTGGCATCTACTGAGGAGTGAACCAGGATGGAGAGGCGGCCAGTTGCCCTTGGCTTACACTCCCTCTGGTCCGCAGCCCACTGGTTTCGGTCTGTGCAGTGAACCTTGAGACGTCCAGCATTTTTCACTCTCAGTAAAAGGGACTAGTCTGTCATCTCCCTTCTTCCTTCAACTTGTGGCAATAAGCAAGCATCTCCTGCATGCAAGTCTTCTTCTGGCACTTCCAGCCAAGGTGACACAGTGGTATCACGCTTTGCGGGGTCCCTTGTCCTCCAGACATTTCAGTGTTAGAGAAAACGGAGAAGGAGAAAATCAAAAAGTCTCAACCAACTCACAAACGGGATGTGCATTTTCAGGGACCACAAACAAAAGGGGAGACTTTTTGTGTGGACAGGATGCCAAGCGCCACCAGGAGGGGTGGGGGGCATCCTCTGGGGCCTCCCCCGCCCTCGCTCTGGTTGTACACTCACCACCAGACACCCCTGTGGTCTGGTGCGGAAGCGCTTTCCTACTTGGATCACAATGCGGCTCTTCCCCTTATAATCCTGCAGGCTTCAGTTGCTTTCACGGAGCAGCATGAGCGGAGATGTCCTCGCTCTACCATCTTCAGAAGTTTCCTGCTTGCTTTTTGAGTGTGGTTTGTGGGTGCTGAAAATGGAACTGCACACGATTCCCTGTGGCTTCCTGATGGGGGCGCTGTGAGAGATCAGAGGCGGAAAACAAGCCCTGCCCCTCTGACCTCAACACACCCAAACCTTGGCGAGCTCTCGGGGCTGCATGGAGCTTCCCTGATGCTGTGCTAAGCTACTTAGAGGCGAGATTTGGCCTGACAGCTTCTAGCACACTTGTATCCTCAAACACAACTAGAAAATTTGAGTAAATTAAAATTTTGGTGTTACGTCCTGGAATGCAGGGGAATCCCATTTTCAAATATTGTCTTTGCTCCCATAAAGGCACTTAAGTCTCTGAGAAGCACTGCATTACCTCCCAGAAGCTACACAAAGGTCATTTACCAGACCACATGCTCCCATTTTCACTGAGAAAGCCTAGTCCTCATTCTCTCCACTGAACAGTGTCTGAGCGTGTAAACAGTTGGCCTGAGCAGTAAGTCTGCCCGATATTCTAGTGTTGACATACGGGGATTTGGGTTGAATGAACTTCTTTAGGGAGGTGTAAAATGTTTGGGGTTACTCTTTAGGACACACTAATGGAACTAAACTCTTTCTTTTAAATATTGGGTTCCTTCCCCAGCACACTACGGAGCTGGGTCTCTCTCTTCAGTGTTCTCACTTTCTCTCATCAAAGCAACCCTGAAGGAGTTAGATTCTTCTTCTGTTGCTGAGCTGAAAACACCCTGAACTGACAGATTATATATCACTTCATGGGGAACCTCGCAATGCAGATCTTTAAAATGTTGCTCATCATACATAGTGTGTGAGCAGAAGAAGTAAAAATTCAGAATTAGCTAAAATGTTTTATTTCAAAATATCTTTTGTTTGATGCTTGAAACATAGGACATCCTTTTGTTACTTAACCCTAGGACACTACTAGGAATATTCTAGTCTCGATTCGAGTTGACAAAGTACTTTATTTTTTAACATACTTTGTATTTTATGACAGTTCAACTGCACCTGAAATCCAATGAACTGAACATGGCGGGACGGGGCCTCAGGGGACATAAAAACTGGTGGCCTCAGTTCCTCTCATCCTGCCTCTTGGCATTACTTCTCTCTGATCTTGTTGACACTGGCTTGGCTAAACTGTAGACAAACAGTTGTACAATAAAGAATCCCCCTTCAAGATCAAATGATGTGCTATGATCAGATTTGGGAAGACATAATCTGGTGCCTGGAATAGCTCCTAAATTGTCCCCTGTCCCTGCCCCATCCTGGCTCATGTCCACCCTAAACATGGGTCTGTAGCTACAGGATGGACCCTCAAAACACCATCGTGTCAGCACCACCCAGGAGGGGTGCAGGATGCTTGAGGTGAAGCTCCTCCGATTCCAATACTGTGTGAAAGCTCCCGAATAACCACTGGGGTTCGTGCTGAGCAGCTCTGCAGGAGGACTCTTGGCACCAGGAATATACAGTTAGTTGCCTCTTGAACAACACAAGTCCACTTTTGCACGAGATTTTTCCAGTACTGTAAATGCATTCTCTTATGATTTTTTTAAGATTATATTTATTCATCAGAGCAAGAGAGGAGAGATCGAGCACAAGCAGGGGAGCAGCAGAGGGAGAAGCAGGCTTCCCGCTGAGCAGGGAGCCCGATGCGGGGCTCGATCCCAGGACCCTGGAACCATGACCTGAGCCGAAGGCAGACGCTTAACTGACTGAGCCACCCGGGCATCACTTCCTTATGATTTTCTTAATCACATTCTTTTGCCCTAGCTTTAAGAACAGGGTCTATAATACAACATAGAAAATTAACCAACTGTTTCTAAGTAAGGCTTCCAGTCAACAGCAGGCTCTTAGTGGTTAAGTTTTAGGGATGACGTTCTGTGCAGATTTGACCGTGCGGAGGTCGGTGAGCCACCCCCTGGGTTATTCAAAGGTCAACTGGACTTTTTTCTGTTTCTTTTTACTAGAATAAAGAAGATGTTTGCTTCATCGTCTTGAATAAAAAAGAAGGCTCAGGTCTGGGATTCACTGTGGCAGGAGGGACAGATGTGGAGCCGAAACCAGTTGTGGTAAGTGACCACGTCAAGATGCTCCCCGGGAAGTCACTTCTGACACAGTCTCAGAGGTGCTCAGGACAAAATTCCCACCCGTGAGCTCACAGCACGCTGCTGTTTGTCTCCTCCTAACAAAGCAAAAGTGGCAAAGCGGGGGGAGTAGGACATAATCTAGCCATTGGCAAAGATACACATTTTTACCACAGAGCCGACCGATGTGCAGACCGAGTGCCCTATTGGATGCCAGTACGTGTAAGCACGGTTTTCTGGAGTTTCCTCATGTTCACCTAAATACTTAAGCACTAGAAAAACACGAGAATCAACTGACCCAATCTGCATGTGCTTCTGTAATTACTTCCTTCTCAAGAACCATCTCCAATTTTAGATCACTCAGAGGCCTCTGAGATCACGAGGCAGGCCACCCCCATGAGGCCAGACCAGGTCCTGTTCGTTCTTGTGACCTTACTGCCCGGTGGAGCGCCAGGCACAGATCAGACGCTCGAGAGAAGTTGAGGAAAAAATGTATTCAGATGCCGGCACCGACCTTTGTAATTCCCTCCCTCACACCGCACAGGCTTTCAATGAACCGCGTTCATAGGATTTTGCAAACTTGCCATTAGAAAGTTCCTCTACTACAGACTTGCATCTGCCCTTTTGCTTTGACTGAAGTTTCCAAAGCTTTTGTCTTCTCCTTGCCCCAGGTGCACAGGGTGTGTTCTCAGGGGGCTGCTTCTCAGGAAGGGACTGTGAACCGAGGGGATGTCCTTCTGTCCGTCAATGGCGCCTCGCTGGCTGGCTTAGTCCATGGGGATGTCCTCAAGATTCTGCACCAGGCACAGCTGCACAGAGATGTGCTCGTGGTCATCAGGAAAGGGAACGATCGGCCCAGAGCCTCCAGTGGGCAGGAAGCCAGTGGGAAGGGCGCGCTCTCCAGGAAGGCCAGCCCGCTGGAGCCAGGTGTAGGTAAGACACCAGCCCAGCAACCGGCCGGGTGTGAGCAACCGGCAGGGCAGGTTCTGGCTGAACAAAAAGGAACCTAACTACTCTCATGAGGGTCAGAGAAATCAAATAGAGGGGCGCATGGTGGCTCCATCGGTTAAGCGTCCAGCTCTTGATTTCAACTCAGGTCATGATCTCAGGGTCGTGAGATCGAGCCCCCATCAGGCTCCACACTGGGCTTGGAGCCTGCTTAGGATTCTCTGTTCTGTCCTGCCCCTCCCACCCCCTAGCCCCACACCATCTCTCTCTCTCTAAAAAAAAAAAAAGAAAAGAAATCAAATGTAGTGACGTCTAATGTTTGTGGATACTTCTTGAAAAAGCAGTGTTCCTAGTAAGTTAGAAACCACTGCCCCCCTGTCATTAAAGCCATACTGTCGAAGGCTTTGAACGACTGCTTGACAGCTTCTCTGCATGCATGAAGAAAGAAGTCCTTTCACATTTATATCTTCTTAGGACTTAGGTAAAACACGAAACTCTTGTGATAAGGGGAATCATGGAGAGTATGCAGAAATTCCAAACTGCCATTTGTCCTTGGAAACACCAGGGTTTGTATTCTTTCCTGTTTTAGAAGAACATAAGGAAATGAGGGGGCACAAATGTTTAAAAACAGAGACTGTAGCCTTAATCAACCAAGAGCTTATAAAAAGAGGTTGAGAAGTGGATTTCCTAAGCGCCTTCCATACTGTCATCCCAAGGCTCGCTGGGAAGGCATACGAGGTATTTACTCGGAACTAAGTACTGCTTCTGTTTCTGAAGCACAAGGCTGAGGGCGGCCTTCAGAGAACTACTTCAGACCTCCGTGGTGTCCTCTCCCTTGGAGTTCAGGAGCAATGTCTTTAGTCCTGAGAGCACGGAGAGCCTCTGGAAGCTCAGGTCAGGGCACTGCCTTCTGGAGAGGTCTTTGGTTTCTTCTCAACATCTCTCCCTAGTAAAGTCAAGGGTAGTTGAATTCCTCTGTTCAACTTGGCTTCAGGGTGGCCTGGGCTATCCGTGATTTCTTTGCTGAAAACAGCACTCATTTCCACTGAACAGATGGGAAACTCTTCCTGTCCAGATGCCTCCACAGGCCAGAAGTATTCTCACCCTTCTGCTCTGTTGTCTTGCTTTTGCGCGTCTAGAAAACTGAAGCCCGTCTCAACACTGGGAAACACCTTAAGTCCTCAGACCTTGTCATGCTCACCTTTGCCCCAGCACTGTCTCAATTGTTTGGTCTATTTTCAATGGATCCAAGAAACTTAACATCACAGGAAATTCCTGGCAGCTTCCAGAGTTTTTAAGCCTCATGAACTTGGGATATGGAAGGCTATTGTCATTTATAATCAATCATTAAGTATTCCTGGGACACCTTCAGAACATCTGGCCTTGAACCAGATTCTATAGAGTCACTAAATTATAAGCACTTTCAGGGCTTAAACTTTTTCATAGTCCTATTCCTTAAAATTCCCCTGCCCAGGGCTCCACCTGAACCCACGGAATTATCCCTTCACGTGCCCCGAGAGCATCCCACTTGAGGACAGACGCGGTGGGCTGCACAACAGAGGCACCTAGGAAGCTTTTTAAAATCCTACTGCCCAGCAAATTCACCAGCTCAATTAAATCAGGGCCCTGAGTCACTAGCTTTCTAAGGTTCCTAGGTGATTTCAGTAGAATCTGGCCCAGAGCTGAGAGCCGCTGTAATGGGCCTGTTCTCCTGTTTAACAGCAAGTCAAATCACCTATTGAAATTCCTGTGGCACACTGCCTTCAGACCCCGTGGACGTAGAGTGACCTTCTTCAAACCACACTAATGGACCTTTCTGTTCAAAGGCAGGGATGCTAGCTACCTTAGCCTCAAGCCCAAGTGGGCAGTTTGCACGCGTTTGTTGCAGTGGGGGACCCGTTGCCAGGGAAACGTGCCCCCCGACACACACCCCCGTGGAGAGAGATGGCAGCAAGGGCAGGAGCATGCGCAGCAGAAGGGGGAAGGCGCAGAGCTCCGGGACCCACGATCACAGTCTCACGTGAGGCCTGGCACTGGGGTGTTGCAGGTTATCAGTGCCAGACTGTGACCCTCTGCTGCCGTCGGCACTCAGGGTCGGCAGGACATTGAATCTGATTCCCCAAGCGTGACTTCACTGAGACACACGACCACAGTGTACGGGGCTTGCCAAGAGCAGTCTGGCCTCTGAGGGTTTCTGCTTGGGCCCCAAAGCTGCCTCCATGCTCACAGAAAGTGCTCAGGGGCGCCTGTGTGGCTCAGTCAGTTGAGTGTCTGGCTCTCGATTTCGGCTCGGGTCATGATCCCAGGTTCCTGGAATGGAGCCCCGCATCACGCTCTGCGCTCAGCAGGGAGTCTGCTTCTCCCTCTCCCTCTGGCCCTCCCCCCTGCTCACGTGCATGTGCTCCCTCCCTTAAATACATAAATCTTTAAAAAAAAAAAAATGCTTTGAAGAGCAAATGGTGCATGTACAGCAGGAACATAGCCACGAGGTCAGCTCCAAATTTGGGAGACCAATCCTAACGCTGGTTTCAAAGGGAGACGGGACTCAGGGGCGCTGGGGTAATACATTTGGGGGACTGGAGAGGTGGTGATGAGTGTCATTTCCATCCTTACCAATGTCGTTGCTGCAGGGAGAAGCGTACCTTCACATGATGCGCTGTGTGTCGAAGTGCTGAAGACCTCTGCTGGGCTGGGCTTGAGTCTGGATGGAGGAAAATCCTCTATGGCTGGAGATGGGCCCCTGTTCGTTAAAAGAGTATACAAAGGTAACGCCCTAGAAAAGCCAGTCGGCTGTTTTCTGTGTATGACTGTGCCTTCCCTTTGGAAAATGTTTTCATTCTCTCTCACATACAGGGTGTACTATGTGTCAGCCCTGTTGTGTTTTACATGTATGAACTCATGTTGCTCCCCCCCCGCCGACAATCCTATTATCCCTGTTTCACAAAGGAGAGAGTGTGCCACAGGGGAATTACACAAGCACCTAAGGTCACACACACAAGTGACAGAACAAGGCTTGAACCCAGGCAGTCCGGCTCCAGGGTCTGTGTCCCTAACCTCCATACTAGATCCCTAACTCCGTGTTCGTAACTAGTATTAGCTGTAACTCATGTAAACATACCAAGTTAATGCCATCAAGAATTGCCAGCCAGGGGTAATTAACATTGACCAAGATTGTATTTATTTCAAATTGCAAATACTAGACTTCAGGAAGGTAAGATGAGAGCAGTAAAGATCGTTGAAGTATGTGGTAGATACAAGGTCTCTTTATGAACTTGAATAATTATTTTATGATCTTGGACAGTTCTCAAAAATCTCTTCAAGTTCCTGAGCTACACAATTATATTCAAAAAGTATAATTATACTGGGGCACCTGGGTGGCTCAGTTCCTAATCTCAGGGTCGTGAGAGTGAGCCCCCTGTGGGGCTCCATGCTCAGCGGGGAGTCTGTGATTCTCTCTCCCCCTCTGCCGCTCGCCCCCAGCTCTCAACGCGCGCTCATTCTAACTTATCTTTTAAAAAGTATAATTATACTAATAATATCAGTACATATAAAAATCTGTATATCCTATTATATATAATAGTTAATATTAAGAGTATCAGTATGTAATATATAGAACATACTCATGGGGCGCCTGGGTGGCTC